TCAACTCAAAAGGAAGAAAGGTCACAATCATACAATGTTATGCACCTACAAATAATGCAGAGCAAGAGAAAAAGGAGGAATTCTACAGACAACTGCAGTCAACACTGGACAAGACGTCAGTTGGCGATATCAAAATTCTAATGGGCGACATGAATGCCAAACTGGGAGGGGACAACACAGGAAGAGAACTAACCATGGGTCGAGAGGCGCTAGGTGAAATGAATGAGAATGGAGAATTGTTTGCAGAATTCTGTGCATTCAACGATTTGGTGATTGGAGGCAGTGTGTTCAGGCACAAAGATATCCACAAAGTGACATGGATTTCACCAGATGGACACACTAAAAATCAAATCGACTTTATCTCAATCTCAAGAAAATGGAGACGCAGTCTACTTAACACAAGGTCAAGAAGAGGAGCAGATGTAGGTTCAGACCACTCACCATCTAGTGCAAGGAACCTTCCAAATCAAGTTGAAAGCCTTCAAGGAAGCTGGTGATAGACCTCAATTCAAGTACAACACTCGGAAACTGAAGGATGAAACTACAAAGGAGATCTTCAAGGCAGCCATCAAGACAAAATGGGAGACGTCGAGGGACATCCCTGAAGAAACCTGTGTGGAAGAACACTGGAAGTCTTTGAAGGCTATGTGGAAAGAAACCTGCACAACAGTATTAGGAAGGAAGAAGAAAGAAGACAAGGAATGGATCTCGACGGATACCTGGAAGCTGATAGAGGAGAGGAGGATGGTGAAGCAGAAGATAAACCAGTGCAAGGATGCTCAACGACAAGAGGAACTGAGCACAATGTATAAAACACTGAACAAAGAAGTGAAGAAGAGTGCACGGAAAGACAAAAGAAACTTCTACGAAACACTGGCAAGTGAAGCAGAACAGGCTGCAGGTAAGAGAGACCTGACGACATTGTATCAAATAACCAGGTTGCTATCAGGGAAGAGACCAACACAGATGAAACCAATAAAAGATGAAGAAGGAAATTTAATTACGAAAGAAGAGAAACAAAGGGCCGACCACTTCAAGAAGCTCTTGAATCGACCACCACCACCATCTGCACTTCTTCCAGAAATACCACCTGCAGCCGCTGAATTACAAGTGAACATAAATCCCCCAACGAAAATGGAAGTCCTGAACGCCATAAAGCTACTGAAATGCGGGAAAGCAGCAGGACCAGATGGGATCCCGCCAGAAGCACTGAGAACAGATGCAGAGACAACAGCAGACATGCTCACACCACTATTGCAGAAGGTGTGGAAGGAAGAGAAGGTACCTGCTGGTTGATTGGAAGAAGGGTTACGTTGTCAAACTGCCGAAGAAAGGAGACCTCAGTGTTTGCAAGAACTGGCGCGGAATCACTCTCCTGTCCACCCCAAGTAAAATATTAAGCCGCATCATCCTGGAGAGGCTTAAAGACGCACTGGATTCAAAACTGCGACAGGAACAGGCAGGCTGGATTCAGGAAGTACAAATCATGTGCAGACCAGATTGCAACGCTTCGCATCATCATAGAACAGAGCATAGAATGGCAATCAGCTCTCTACCTCAACTTCATCGACTTTGAGAAGGCCTTTGACAGCGTCGACCGAGAAGTAATTTGGAAACTGCTTCAATACTTCGGAGTACCGCAAACCTTTATCCGCCTCATTCAACAACTATATGAAGATGCCACATGCCAAGTAATCCACAATGGGAAGCTCAGTGATGCCTTTGAAGTGAAGACAGGAGTGAAACAAGGTTGCCTACTATCACCCATGATATTCCTGATTGTGGTGGACTGGATCATGCAGCAAACAGTAGGCAGCGAGAAGAGGGGGATACGCTGGACGGCGGAAAAGAACCTAGAAGACTTGGATTTCGCCGATGACTTGTGCCTGATGTCACACAAACTTGAAGAGCTACAGGCGAAAGCTAACAAGTTGATAGAAGAGGCAGCGAAGACGGGACTTCAGGTGAATATAGAGAAGACAGAAGTGATGAAGATACCTCACCACCACCATCAACAACAACAACAAACTCCAATCACCGTCAACGGGAGAAACTTAAAGGAAGTAACCTCCTTCACTTATCTAGGAAGCACTGTTTCAACTACAGGCGGGACGGACGAGGACGTCAAAGTCAGAATTGGAAAAGCAAGACAGGTGTTCATTAGCCTGAAACCAGTGTGGAGATCTTCTGCATTGCACTCAGCATGCGGAACAAGATCCGGATTTTCAACACCAACGTCAAGTCAGTGCTCCTGTATGGTTCAGAGACTTGGCGCGTCACGAAAGGGATTTCCAATAAACTACAGACATTCATCAACAACTGCCTACGCTGGCTCAATACTGAAGATCAGATGGCCAGAAAGAATAAGCAACAAGGAGCTCTGGGAACGAACCAACGAAGCAAGAACCTATCACGCAACAAATATGCAGGAAGAAGTGGAGATGGATTGGCCATGCACTGAGAAGGCCGACTGGGGACATCACGCGTCAGGCCAGTTGCTCGAGTGGAATCCCCATGGGAAGCGACGAGTTGGACGTCCGAGGCAAGGGTGAAATGGAGGAGGTCGTGCGAAGAGGAAATGAGAGCTTGTGGGCTGTCGTGGAACCAGGTTCAAAAGATCTCAGAGAACAGGATGAAATGGAGACGCGCTACTGAAGCCCTATGTTCCACTAGGAACCCAAGGGACTAATAATAATATAATAATAATGACTGTGAAAGTAGTACCGAGCAAATATATAACGCTAATTAAAGCTCTCTACCCGAACTGACGCAGCCGTATGAGGGCTTATGTAGAGTTGTCATGTGAATTGACGACGACTAGTGTCCACCAGGGATGCCTGCTGTCACCGTTCCTATTCAGTTTTGTTATATACATACTAATGTATATAACCTTAGGTACCTCTGACTTCACAGGGATTGATCTACTCCATGAAGGTCATCTGGCTGACTTGGAGTATGCAGAAGACATTGTCCTGCTATGTGAAGACGCTGACAGAATGCAGAGTCTTCCGGACGCCTTGAGCAGAAATCTGACTGTGTTTGGCATGGGTTTCTCACCTGTTAAATGTGAGATGATGCTTCTGGACTGGTCTGCAACTACTCTCAGCTTTATGATAGGGGAGTGAAGTGGTGGTGTGGCGACCACTTCACTTACTTGGAAAGTTGCATCAGCTCTAACGGGCTGGTTGCTGACGAAATCCCAACTCGGATATAGACGGCCTATTCGGCATTTGCCAACATGCCTCATTTGGGGTGCCGACTGGTGAGATATCCGACTAACTAATAAAGAACGAGTATACTTCTCTGCTTAGGCGTCCGAGGGTGACATGGAGATCGTGGAAGGGAGAAATGAGAACTTCTGGGCAGTCATGGAGCCAGGTTGGAAAGATTGCAGAGAACAGAGTGGAACGGAGATGTGCTACTGAAGCCTTATGTTCCACTAGGAACCCAAGCGATAAATAGTAATAATAATACTTCTCTGTAGTCCGTTCTGTCCCGTTATATGGCTTTGAGACATGGCCGTTAAAAGTGTCTTCGTAGCATTGCTCATCTATGACGGAATCACCATGTGAGCAATGTAGAGGTTAGGTGAAAGGTACTAGATAAGGAAAGAACGTCAGTCGATGAGGTTGTGAGATTTCAGTGACTGAGCTGGCTTGGACACGCGCTGCACGTGCAGAAACACCGCCCACCTCGAGGTGCAGTGCTATGAGAAGTTGGACTAGGTTTGAAGATGATTCAGGGTGACCAGACTGCAACGTGACCGCAACTTGTCGTGTCTCTGACTCTTGGTCTGAGTCGTATGAAGAGTTGTAGACTGCCTGGTTAGGGTACCCGTGATGAAAGGAGTCAATGAATGAAAATCAGTCACAACGGTGCACATGTATTCACGCTTTGACACCTTCCTAAGCTTGATCGTCTTGACAAACATGATATTTCAAATTATTTCTTCTCCCGTACACCTCTGTATAGCTTAGTCCCAGTCTTTTTCTATCAACTCTTTCTTTACATGATGCTGTGAAGAGTCGCAACTTGGACCGTCGCACTTCTGTGCGAGGTTCCACGTTGGTTTTGTGTACCAGATAAAGGTGTACGAGGGGAGAGAGGACGAACAGATGGAAGTTAATACAGTATATCCAGCCAGGTAGCGGCTCTTTATGCACATCACATCATATCCAAGCCCACTTAGTCGATGAAGGTGCACAAGCTCACTGCTGACGAATGTGAAACGTGCTTTTTGAATCGAAGTTAAGCAGTGACCGACTCATTCGAACAGAGAACTCTCCAAGTAAGTAAGGTGTTGGACGGGTCCCACCCAACCACTTACTACCGTTACATTAGGAGTTAGTGGAGATCGGTCTTGAAGTATGGTCTTATATTTGAAAGGTATAAAACGCTTGTCAAACATACTGAGATTTCCCATGAATACCTAAACATCTGGATTTTGTTACCATCTCCGTCTAACAGGATGATGTCATGTACGTCTTCTATATCAGCTACATGTCCTTAAAGAATTAAATTCCTGGGAGGTCTGGAGGCACTTAGGAAAGTGCCCATCAGTGCATTAGTAATAAAATTAGATACGAATGTTAACAGGGGAAAGGTGGGGTTTCCTTGTTTTGGTGGTGTAGGTGTACTTAGTTGCGATGTTGACATATGGTTCAGTGTGATGCGGCTAAAATCGTAATACTTGTTTATGAATTGTGTATGTTGTGCGCCTCGTATGAGGGGGTTTCGGTTGTTATATCTTGGTTGCTTGTTGCAAAGACACTCGATTACTGTACTTCAGGGAGAATAGAGCTTAAGTTAAGCAAAAAGGAACCGATGTCTCGACTTGTTCAGATGGACATCTGAGAAGCACAAATAGATATGACATTCAGCTTTTACGCGCGTAAAAATTACACTGCAGATGGGAACTGCAACTCGTTTTACTCTCAACTAATAGTGAAATAATATGAAAAGTATACCATAAATAACGCTAGAGAGAAAGATTTTGTTTTAGGTTGGTTTATTTATTTACAAGTACCACGAGGTAAGTTATCAGAGGTAATGATATAGACTTTTATTTTTGTGATCAATAAGACGGAAAAATTGTATTATTTATAAAATTCCAGTTCCTGTTCATCTTTCTTCAGATTATTTTTGTACCCTTTTTCAAAATCTTTCGCCAAAACGACATACCGATTTTCTCGAACTGCTTGCATACCAGCCTAAGACAAACAAACAAAAAGTGATAAAGGGAACATGAAAACATACAAAAAGACCTGAAAATTGCAACAATAATATTCGTTCAACTGTTGATATGGTATGAAAAGTTTGCTTGAATATACTTTAACTAAGCTGTAGGCTAAAAGTTATTTATGAACATAATAAAGCCTTCAATTTCCGTTCCTAGACACTTATCAAGTTTAATTACGTGTAGTTATCAAAACAAATATTGTCGGAAATAATCACCTCTTGACAAATTGCATTGATATCTGCACCAGATATCTTATCTGGTCGTGCCACATAATCCTCCAAATCAATATCATCGCTGAGATTCATTTTACTAGTAACAGTTGAGAAAATGAGACGCTTTTGACGACGATCTGGCATTGGGAATTCAATTTTACGATCAAGTCGTCCAGGACGTAGAAGTGCTGGGTCTAATGTATCAGCACGATTTGTAGCCATGATGACCTACGTGAGAAAAAGCAAACGTGTTAGATATGACAATTGAACAATATTCTACACGATATATATAAGATGTTTAAAATAGTGAAGATAATGGTTGTAAATCATTTCTATGTTGATGCTAAAACTTGATAAAGGGATATTTATTTATTTGTTCATGAAGCGATATCGAATAGGGGTTGGACTTTTGTTAGCTGTTTTGGAAAAGTAAATAGCTGTCTTGAAAAACAATATAGATTGATATCAAACATAAGGCCTCGCACAAATTTTCATTGACCCGAGCGATAGCTGCTACCTTGACGTGGTGGTCAGACTCGCATGTCAAGGTGACCCAACGAGCTATGCTGGTGAGACGCTTGATTTTTCGAGGTCCCGCCATCTCAAAAAGGTCAGTTTAATAGTGATAAGACAAAAAGAGGCTACCGTCATAGTGTGATTTACTAGACAATGAAGAAGGTTCAAGGGAGAAGTCATATTACTGGCTGGACGGGTGTGATAGCAGTAAGGTTCCCCATAGATGACCAGTAGTACCATGCAGCCTTCCCTTTGGGAAGGGGGTTTCGAAAAGGTCGAGCCTGAAAATACCACACTTCTTTCTACCTCGCGGCATGCTGGTGTAGGTGTCATGAGTCTATATTTGGAGTCGAAACTCACAAACTTAAGTCCCAAATTTCCAAGAACGTCGTATGTGGCGGGCATCAAGCAGATAACCCTTGGGCTCTGCGGTCACGCACTAACCCTTCGTTTTATATACTTGAAGAAGAACTAGCCTTCCACGGTGTGGGCAGCCGGGAAGCATCAACGGCCCTCACAATTCTGTCAGTACTCAAGTTACCTCAGATCAGTGTACCATCCACATCATAGTCTTCTAATCTTCTTTCACATCTTTCGGTGAATGTTCCTACATCATCTTTGATTCGCCTCAGCTCTGAAGCTCTCGGTAACGATTCGAGCTCACGGAACAAAATCTTTAGTCTCCTAGGTTAGCACTCTAAACCAGATATTGGAGATTTCAATGTCTGCACCCTCCACCAAATCGGAAAAGCTTTGCTGGTCAAAAATAACAACTCGGGCCATGGATGTGTACTGTATGTGAGACAGGCATATAGGACCCAAGTGCAGTTATTCACTTAACCTCACCCTGCGTATACGACCTTAAAGTTACTGAAATACGGGAAAGCAGCAGAACGAGATGAAATCCCTCCAGAAGCACTGAAAACAGACACAGAGACATCAGCAGCTGACAAGCCCACACCACTACTGCAGAAGGTTCGCAGGGAAGGAAGAAAGGTAGCTGCCGATAGAAAGAAGGGCTACCTTATTGAACTCCCGAAGTCTTTGCTAGAACTGGGGAGGAATCATGCTCCTGTTCACCCCAAGCAAAATATTAAGCTGCATCATCCTGGAAAGACTAAAAGATGCCATGGACTCAAAATTATGACCGGAACAAGGTGGATTCAGGAGGTACAAATCATGTGTGGATCAAATTGCAACGCTACACATCATCATAGAACAGAGCATATAATACCAGTCAACTCTCTTGACCTCAACTTCAGTTACTTTGAAAAGGTCTTCGACGGTGTTGACCGAGAAGTAATTTGCCAGGCAGCTGCTTCAACACTACGGTTTTAGTGCCACAAACCTCTATCAACCTCATGCAACAGCTACATGATTATGATGATAATGCTAAATGCCAAGTGATTCACAATGGAGAGCTCAGTGATGCCTTTGAAGTGAAGACAGGAGTAATACAAGATTACCGCCTACTATCACCTGAGTGTGGTCAACTGGAGTGGACTGTACTGTACTGGATCATGCAACAAACAGTGAGGAGCGAGAAGATGGACATACGCTGACTGGACCGATGAAACCACCCCAGGAGAAGATTTGGCCTTCGCCGATGATGATGATTTATATCCAATATCTTGCCGCACAAACTCGAAGATCTACAGACGAAAGCTAACAAGTTGACAGAAGAGGCAGGGCAGTGAAGACGGGTGAACGTGTAGAGAAGGCAGAGGTGATGAAGATACCCAACCAAGGATAAGAACAACGAGAAGAAGCACGAGTCACAATTATTGGGATGAATCGGAACTAAGTTGTTTCTTTCACCTAGGCAAGCAATGCAGCATCCTTTCAACTACAGGCGACGGCACAGATGAGGATGTCAGAGCAGTGAGGATCAGAACGACAGGTCTTCATTAACCTGAAACCAGTGTGGAGATCTACTGCACTATACTGCACTCAGCAAAAAGAGTGAACAAGATCCGGATTTTCAACAGTAATATCAGTCAAGTCAGTCAGTACTTCTATGTAATGGTTGAGAGACTTGGCGCGTTACGAAAAGCATTTCCAACAAACTACAGACATGCACAAGCCAACAGCTGTCTACGCTCACTCGATACTGACACTGAAGATCAGATGGATAGCCAGGAAGAATCAGCAACAAAGAAATTTGGCTCGCTAGCTGGCTGGCAACGAACCAACCAAGAAGCCACCACCCAACAAATATGCAGAGGAAGAAAGTGGAGATGGATTGGTCATACACTGAAAAGACTGATTGGGGACATCACGCGCCAGGTCAGGTCGTCGAGTGGAATCTAAAGGGGAAACAACGAGTCAGGCGTCTGAGGCGAGGGTGACATAGAGGAAATGGTGTGAGGAAGAAATGAAAGCTTGTGGTTGGTGGTGGAGCCAGGTTTAAAAGACTGGAGAGAAGAGAGTGCTACTGAAGCCTTATGTTCCACTAGGAGCCGAAGGGACAAATAATAATAATAATCTAACTTGGGCTATTCATTTGATTGGTCCTTAAGGTCACCCAACCAACTACTGGAATAACTAATTGAATTTTCGTATTTTATGTAAAAACTACCAATCCAGTCGAAAGAAAGGAAACTAATTGGTTATTTCGGTCGTTGCTACGGTGGCCCTTAAAGTTCCACACTCATTTTCGTCAATCACATGGCACAGAAGCAGAAACAAGTGCACGATGAGAGAAGTCTTACAGAGGATAAACTAGATTAAGCAGATTAGTGTTGGGTGTTGTAAAAATAATAGTCTGACTTCTAGCTAAAAAAAGTTCAATCTTTGAATTCAATAAACTGATGACTCACTGGTTCGAATTTTAAGCCACTTACCGACGTGTGTGACCACGTAGTATTTATTAGCAATTATACAAGTGTAACTCGTCACATAAACTTGCATGTGGTTACAACGTACTGAAATACGCACCAGTTACGAAAAGTTAAATAGCATCAGCGTAATTTCAATGCAGGAAAAATCACTTGATACCTCAGTGTCAAACATAATATGCATACTACAGTTGCATCAGGTTGAGGATTGAAAGCAAAAATTATTTCACCGTAACCAAACAAAAACTTAACAATAAAGTTTTAAGATATCTATCCATTACGAGATGGGAAGCCTAGTTTATGTCATTGGTATTGTGCATCAAAACAGTCCGATAGATAATGCGAAGGTGATTCCTGTCAGTCACTAATCTCTACTGCCCTTCTTAATTTAAATTCTAAGCTGGAAAACAAATTTACAGATCAAGAGGAAAAACTAAGTGCAGAAAAGGAGTGATATAAAGATAAGTACAGGTAAAATCCAAACAAGTGTCACATTACATAAACTGGGTACATTGGTAATCTTGAAACTTCAGAAAGATACTAAAATAGATGGAGAATCTTTTACACTACACTCACTTTCACATTTACATTTTGGTCAAACCCATCCATTTGATTTAAGAGTTCTAACAAAATACGCTGTACTTCGCGATCAGCTGCCAAAATAAAGTTAAATATCAAATAATTAACCAATAATTATGTGAAAGTGATGAAAGTTTATATGAATACTTATTACACATGAAAAAGATGTACAAATGTCGCAGTTTCCAGTGATATAAGTTGGAGATCATGATAGCCATTCTAAATGTCAGCGGTTCAGCAACAGAGGTTTTCATGTTACAATGTGACCCATGATGTGTTGGCGTGCTTATGATAGTGTCTTACAAAACGCAGCTGGTAACCTCCTGTTGAGGATTCGCTCATCAAAACACCTAGAAAACTTTCAGTCATCAGATAGAGAGAGATTTATTAGATCCAGAAAGATGGGTCCCATGGACACAACATACGCCATTAATATACATGCTTACAACGAAATGAATTATCCTAGAAAGAAAACAGTGATAATGACACATACCTTAATAATGAGAAACATATAATGATAACCAACATCAATTGGGTGGCAAAGTCAGTTTTCAAAGTCATTTCAACCCATAATACATTAGTAGTTCATTCCATCAAGTAATAGACATTTATAGACGGTAATGTAGATGATCCACTGAGTAGAAACAGAAGCTGAAAAACCAACACGACTGCAAAAAACTGGGTTCATGCATGATACTACTCAGGAAATAGTGCTACCATGTTTGGGAAGTTTCATAAAATTGCTATGAAACACATTAAGGTTATAGTAATTATTTTTTATTCGACCGATATTAATTCGGTAAAAATGAAGAAAGATCGCTTAACTTCATTCATTCCATATACACTAACTATCTTAGATACTTTTGGGAAGCCAATTAAGGTGGAAATGTAACTAGACAAGTTTTACTTCGGGCTTACGAAGAATATCCTTTACGATTGAGTAAAAATATGACACGATCATACGAATTTCCATACTCGTCTACTTTACTGATGACAGACATTGAGTTGATATAACTCTTATTTGTCTTTTTTTACAATAAAAGTGATCGGAAATCATTTAAATTAGTCAGACTTGTATCCGAAAGTCACACAGGCTATAGCCATCCACAAGACTTACCCTAAGGAATAAACGAAGTAAAGTTTTTTCTGAGAAAATATTGTTTACGCATCAACAGTTTTAATTTTCATTCGTACCTAATTGTTTCAATAGAATTAGTGTTAAAAAGTTATATGTTCCCAGAATCATCCGAATTTCTCATTATTACGCAAACCTTCCATTACGTAAATTACCTTTTTGACTTGACTAACAATTAACGAACTAACACCTAAAAGTTAATAAATTCTTAAGAAAGTAACCTCAGTACTAGACTGGCATATTTTGCATCGTATAAAAAGTGCCGTCAGCATAGAGTAACTAAAAAAAATATTTCTTTAGTTGAACTCCTTTTTTTCTGGACATTTAAATGCAAATACAATTATAACATGACTTACTGTGCTTCTTATAGAACTCTGGCGGGATATTTTATCACAGACTGATCATTTCAAACAATACTTGAGGACACTTTACCTTATTGCACTTAAATAATACTCCTTACACTAGAAATTAAAATTCCAGACAACTTTTAGAAGCAATTTTTATGTAACTTAATTGCTTTTCAACAGAACTATTTTCATGTAATTTGATTATCCTTCTTTCTACTTATGATGATGGATGATGATCAATTCGGTCATTTTTGCGACTACATGATTAACTATCAAATCGAGCAATAAAGCAGTCATTCTTGTTGATGCGTTAACTGTGAACTAACACTGTTCAGGAATCGTCAACAATTTTTCTTTTGCCGGGAGGAAAAAATTAAGCTTTGTAAATATACATCACTGGAGCCAATTACTTATTTGTTCCTTGCAAATGCTTGATAAGAAAAAAGTCCTTACATTTGTTTCGCTAAAAATTGATATATGGTTCAAAAAGATGAGATCAGACATGCTGCAAACTTCTGTTATAGAAAATTAATGATACTAATTTGCTATCTTAATCGCAATGCTTGGAAGTTCTGAATCTGAATTCATCGTTACTAAGCAAATAGTTAGAATACTGAGAAATAGGAATTAAATATTTCCAAAAAATATGTTTACTATAGATTTGGAGAGAAAATGTATAGAATACACCAAATACTTGCAAAAGAAACTTTACCTCCAGTTTGAGCATCAAATCGTTTTGTGGCAATAGCATCAATCTCGTCAATGAATATAATTGCTGGGGCATTTTCTTTGGCTAAGCGAAACACGTCTCGAACCATCCGAGGACCTTCACCTAAGTATTTCTGAACAAATTCCGATCCCACTACACGAATAAAAGCAGCAGTAGTATGATGTGCGACTGCTTTAGCCAACATTGTTTTTCCACAACCTGGAGGGCCATACATCAACACACCTCTAGGTGGATCTATTCCGATTTGTTTGTATAGTTCAAAATGAGTTAAAGGTAATTCAACAGCCTCTCTGACTTCCTGCTTCTGGATATCCATACCACCAATGTCAGCATAAGACACATCAGGCTTTTCATCTGAATAATTTTAAAGAAAGCAAAGTAAGAAGTACTGAGTTTATCAGCATATTTCGCACAGTAGATGAAAACAGTGTTAACGCCATATCGTAAGGTTCAGGAGATCAAACAATGCGATCTGCATATTTTGGTTTCCACACAAAACCACGATGAGATTTTTTACCACGAACTGTGTATGTTGCAAACACCGGATTTGATACTAAATTTTGTTGGTTGCGCTAGTGAAGAAGAACCAGCACACTGGAAGCTCTTAGACTCTGAAAGACAAATTATTGTCATGAACAGTTGGACTAAATTTTGGTTGAAAATCATGCTTAAAGCAGATAGTTTTCAGAAGAGGGATGTAGAAATGAATCAGTATAAACACCTGATTTAATGATCAAAAACTCATGGGTACACAAAATCAAAGAGTAGAAAATTAGTAGAAGTGCTTTTTCATCAAATCAAGAAAAGTTGGAGGGAAAGAATAAATTAATTTCGTTTTATAACTTTTCTGTAATCCCAAAACACCCACAATAAACAGGATTAATGAGGGAAAAAATAGGCAATAAACATTGCCAAAAGTCAAATACTGAACAAAAGTTGGTTTTCTTTCTAACACGAGCTATGTCAATCGGCGTTGAAGTTGGCTGAAATGAGGATGTCAATAATATAGCGCTGCTTTTCATTACATACATCTATAGGTTTATTAAACTCAGATAACTAATAATATGTCAACTGAGTTCAACTTCTAGGCGTTGTCCAACATTCGTCAAAAATGGACGTATTTATGCAGCAGGCAGTGAGCCACATGAGTGAGGCCTAATGGTACTACCTGATTATCTACCTCTATGTTGGTAACGCAAGGTTCAAGTGCGTGATTCACTACGTTACTGACGTGGTCTTATTACATGCTGCCTATGGTACGAGGGCGACGGTGGTCAAACGACTGAAGTTTCTTCATATCCTCTACCTTTAATGATTATGTTTCACAGCCATACAGAATAGAATGAACAGCAACACAGTTCACTCGGTATTTCGTGAACTGTCGAATATCACAGCCACGCCATAAATGGCGTAAGGTGGCAAAACCCAGTTGAGCATTTCATATCCATGTAGAGTCCGTCGGTCATTGACTCACTGGGACTGATTCGACTTCATTCTCTATTCCTAGACTAGGCGTCAACGCAGACCAATCCTGGAGTAACAGTGCACATTTGTGTAGTAAGAAACACATCTCCAACATCTGCAAACTCCCACTCAATGTGCCCAGAAGACTGTTTCTCGTCAAAATCCCTATTTAACACGACTGCATTCTGCGTAATCTAGGTCTACTAGGGGTGAGAAGTCTCCTGTGACAAGATTAGTCCCGATAAAGTCAGATCGTCATGAGTAAGTCTGTGATAAACTTGAATAAGAATACGGAAAGTGGACATCCTTGATGGATACCACTCAACACACACAACTTCCCATAGGCTCTAACATGTCCAAGGATGTTCGAGTGCAAAGCCATCAAAAGAGTGATACACTTAGCCAACGTCTCTTTTAGTGGGAAGTACTGCCATAAGACCTCTCGATCGATGTAGTTGGATGCCGCCTTCAGGTCGAGAAATATAGCCGGTGTTGGATATCGGTGTTTGTGTTTTGGGACCTGGCGGTGGGTGAATATTCGGTTGATACACCCAGGTTTTAAACCTGCCCAACGTTTTTGATTTGTTTTTCTGCAGTGTGACATAGGCGTCTAATGATAATTGCTGGGGTCATTGGATACCACGAGATTAATTCCTTTGTGAAGTCAATGCCAACTCTATCGGCAATAAAAGTTTGAAGTCAGCGGGCAATATAATAAACCCAGCAGACGAAAACATGGTGAACGAAATTAACTTTGGTTTATGTTGATTACGATTATAGTAAGATTTTACAGCTTTGATATATTTCCATGAAACATCAATTTGACAAGGTGACGGAAGTATAGTCAAACAGATTGGATTAACGGAGAATGCACACTAGTGCATCATTTTGAGTTGCTACATGGCTACTAAATTAAATGAACGTTTTACTGTGGTCTACTTCATTCGAACGACGTACTACACTCTAAATTCCTGACCTAAGATTATCTCCACTAGTATACTATAATGAAGTTAAATAGGAACGATGACAATGGGAATCCCTGGTGGACATCACTAGTTGTCAACTCACACGAAAACTCTGCATAAGCGCTTACTTGGCTTCATGAGGTCGAGTAGACAGCTTTGATCAGTGCCACATACTTACTTGGTACTCCTATCAGTCACATGCTGCAGCAACACCTCACAGTCGACGGAGTAAAATGCCGCCTTTAGGGGAAGAAATAAGACCAGTCTTGGCCACTAGTCGGTAAGTATGCTTGCGATATATAGCCCAATCAACGGTGGCGATGGACACATTCTCTTCTAGGTTTGAAAAGCGCCTGGTGTTTCCAATTCTGCTGTTCTCGAGCTCCAGTTTGGCATCAGATGAGTATGGACGCAAGGATCTCGGACGATGTAAGTTGAACTGATTCCTCTAAGATGGGGACAAGAGAACTCTCCACTCCTATAGACTGGAATGATCAACAAAACAGACGGGACTACTTCTGACTCATATGCCACCAAGTACTTCCCATTACCACCGTGATTTCCAATCTCCATTCTTAAAACCTTTGGGTGGTAAACTGGTTCAGGTTCAAAACGGCCTTCTTAAGTTCGAGGACTGGCACCTACGTCCCATCCAGATTCAGGCTGAATGCTAGGCAACTGAAGCGTTGCTGTGAGCTAGTTGGATTGTTCTTCAGTGTCTCACTCAAAGTTATAGCCATCAATCCTGTTAGATTATCATGATAGTGATCTCACTGACCATCGTTTTTTTCTTGCCAGTATCCTTATTTAGTACAAATAATTGCCCAGCATTACATAATGCTGATCCCTTCCCCATCTCCCTCGCCTTTGAGAGGACTCTTAGTCAACTTATATTTGATCTCTTCTGACGCTTTGTGATCAGAACCTGATGGGACCAGTTTTCTCGCGTGCATTAGTTCCGATAAAGTTGTGAAAATTCACTGGCTTTTGCCAACCTAAGGATGTAGAAGCGGACTTCATTTCATGCCAGGTTTCCCCAGGATGATCATTGCTGTCACATTCAAATAAATACCTGAAGTTTTCACCTTCCAACCGAGCACAAAAAGGCTTAACTGCCACCTGCTTTCTGCGGCACATATATACACACCCACGTACTAACGCGTGATCGGGGTCGAAATACACTTCAGAAAGAGTGGTAATCCTCCACCAATTCTCTTTCACGATGGCTTGGAACATAACTGATACAATTCTTCCTACTATATGTTACTTTTGGCTCTAATGAATCCAGATAACACCTTTCTTTTCACACGAAAAATTTCTGAGTGCTCAGTGCAAAATAACAACCAAATAGTTGAATATTAATTTCGAATGTCCCACTTTATATCAAAGTAATTGTTAGAGAATACACAATAAAATGAGTTCACTGACCTGCCTGAAGCATTGTTATGCTGCTATCTGCTTCTGGGGGAAGAACGTCTACCAATGCATTGCTGTGTTTGTGAAGAGCAACGCTAGCACTAGCCTTCAACAACTCACGATCAATTGTAGATAATATTCGAACATAATAATTCGAACCTTGAAAATGCTTGGATGTTAAGAAATGTAATTACCAGTCGTTGACCCCACAATACCGGTGCTTTGATCTACAGCTTCCAAAAACTGACCAATAACGAGAGGGACACTTTTAATTCGCTTGACTTCCTCTTGAGCATGCAAATACTCCTTCTTAAGATTCTTTTGCTCATCCTTTATGTAGTTTTCTTGCACTTCAATGAATTCTATTTGCTTTTTAAGGCTCTATAGGATATCTTGGATGCATCATATTATATTACCTTTAATTTTACATACAGATCTTCTTCACTGAGCTGAAGAGGATCCACATATCCGAAGTTCATCCCTAATGTTTCAAAAACTTCAGGTTCCTAGATAACTATGAAGTGAAGGTAATGAGTAGTACCTTCACCACCTGTGGTGCGAGTCCAAGTTCTTCCATCTTACTAATCTTTGTAACGCAGATAACTGAATCTTGTGGCAGTCGACGGTTATTAAAACCTTCAAACTTCAAACTTCGTGTTGTAGAATTAGTGAATGGCGGTTCCTTGGGTTCCACGTCTGTCTTATTGGAATACGTCCTGAGTTCTGAAAAACCTGAAGTGATAGAGATACGATTAATCAATTAATCTAGTCTCAAGTCAGTATTGCTGCATCTGATCTGGGGAAAGCTTCTCGAGTGGAGCCCATCGGTACCATAGGACTCGAGGTGTGCGTCTAACCTCCTTTTAAAAGTATCAGGGGATGTGTCTGTAAAAACCGCTGAAGGGAGGGAGTTCCACAGTTTACAGACTTTAACCGCAAATGAGTTAGCACTGATCTTTGTACGTGCTCTCTCATGCTCTATTCTTAATGGGTGACCCCTCAGGTCACGTTTCCGACCAAAGCTTAGAAGGGATCTGTCAGGAAGAAGAGGATTATAGGCGATGTGGTACATCATGATCATATCCCCTCTGATCCTCCGGTATTGTACTGGGCGCAGCTGAAGAGCAACTAAGCGGTCTGGGTACGGTTTGTGCCGCAACCCAATCACTTTCTTTGTAGCTCTTCTCTGTACCCGTTCTAGGATGGCAATGTCCTTTTTCAAGTATGGGGACATCACAAGCGAGTTTTTTTTCTAAATGAGGGCGAATGTACAGAGCATAAATTGTTGTGAAAAAAGAAGGAGAGAAATCCCAGGATTCCATACGCCCTGTTGGCTGCAAGGCGATAGTGAACTGAGGCTCCTAGTGTATCGTTTGGTGTAACTCCCAGATCTTGTTCGATGTTAGAGTGTCTGATATTTATTTCACCCAGAGAGTAAGAACTGGGACTGCCTTTATGTTTTTCAACTATCATAATTCGACACTTCTTCGAGTTGAGAGGAAGTAGGTTTTCTGTAGTCCGATTAAGGATTTTCGTAAAGTCCTTCTGGAAGATTGAAATATCCGTTGGCTCCTGTATTTCCTTCCAAATCTTCAGATCATTGGCATATAATAATGAATATGAATTAAGTTGCAGAATTCCTGAATGATATTTCCTTGAGTTCTACGTGTGTCTTCTTGAAATTTTTTCGTGTTTTGAGATGGTCACACATGTCTTCCTGGTTTTGAAAAACTTGAAAGGACAGAGACAATCGATTGTTAGTCGTTCTTTTCTCTAAAGGTTGTGTTAATCCAAATGGCCTGTAGCTGACGGAAAGCTCGGTTACAACCCATCGATACCCGCAAATGTAAATTTGTATCCACTCACTTCTAGAAAGTATCAGAGGAGGGGCTGTGACAATGTATTCAGGGGGAGTCCCACGGTTTACATACTCTAACTGCAAGCAAGTTACCAAGGGTCTTGGTAGTGCTCTCTCATGGTCTACTCTTCATGCATGGCTCCTGAGGTAGCGTTTCTGAACAAAGCTTGACAGAAGTCATTTACGATGAAGGGGACCATGAGCTATTTGATACATCATGATCATATCCCTTCTGACCCTCCGGTGTCATATCGGTTGCAGCCTGATAGCAACTGAGGAATTCAGGCAGGTTTTGTACAGTAACTCAGTTGCTTTCTTTGTGGCTGTTCCCTGAACCTGTTCTGGGATGGCTACATCCTTTCTTTAGTATGTGGACTTCATGAGTGAGCTTTTTTAGAGACAGGGACAAATATACAGTTTACAAACTTTAGAGAAAAGTGCACGAAAGAAACCCCAGGACTCCGCAGGCCTTGTTGGCTGCAATGTGGCGGCGGACCGGAGCCCCAGGCGCGTCACTTAAACTGGCTAGCAGATCTCTTTCCATGTTTGAGTGGTAGATTTTATTTCACCCAGCAAATAAAAACTGGAATTATTTATATATTTGTCGACAATCGTATGCCTAAGCTTCTCCGCTTTGACAGGGAGCAGATTTTTAGCAGTTCAATTTAGGGTTTTAGAAACGCCCTCTTGCAGGACTGAAAAGTCCACTAGCTCTTGTATTTCCATCCAAATATTCAGATCATCGGTATATAATAGTGAATAAGGACTGAGAGATCCTGGTACGTAACTAACAAAAGCAAGAAACAGTAGTGAATTAAGGAAAGAACCCCGAGGCATACTACTCAGCATCGGGAACCAATTCGATACATAGAGGCCAACTGTAACTGATTACAACCAAGTGTATAGATAATCTGCGACTCAACCAAGTAACTTCTCGTGTTCACCCAAAAGCCGGAGTTTTACGACCAGTCTATCATGATTTACACTATCAAAGGCCTTGGAGAAGTCAAGGAGGCTAATATGAAAGGGATTTTTCTGCTCAAAAGAGACAGCCTAGGTATTTCAAGCTGTCAAGAAGTTGGTGTCACATGACCTTCCGGGTAAAAACCTGTGCTGACGGTCATTTAAGACTGAATTCTTGGGGAAGTAATCACGAAATGGGCCATTTATGACCCTTTCGATAACCTTCGCAACGGAGGAGATCGGGGAGACTGGTCTACCGTTGAAGGGAATTAGTTCGTTTCCGGTCTTATATACCGAGAAGTCAGCCACTTGCTTCCCATCGGACAGAAGCCTGCCTTCCAGAAAAGAATATCTGAGGAGACTTTCCACCCGGGTGCTCAGACAGACTTCAGTCTCAAGAGTACGGGAGAATATAACATGTTTCAATCCATACAAGAAGTAATTCTGCAGACATGTAGTGTGATGCAAATGATAACTAGTGAAAACGTGCGCTTCTGGTTTTATATATAAGGAGTGAATCGGCAGGATGATTGGACCCAAGCCGACCAAAACCGGGGGAATAAAGCGTGTGAAGTAAAAGAAGTGAAAGATAAGGGGAGCGTCTGACGTGCTGCGTGTGTCTTATTTTTGTTCTTGTAGTGTATTCAACAACGCTGACTGTTCATTTGGTTCGACCTTATCCAATTTACCTGCATAACTAAACCAAAGTTCTCGTTTTGGTTGGTGTCACCACTGTATTTCCTTTTGGCCGAGAGCTACTGTAGCCGTTGGAATTGAGGGGTCGTAACTACATTTTATTGACATATTTTGCAGTAAAAAACGACTTTCACAGTGTTCACTTACTGTTTGAACATGCATTCGTTGTTTGTGGACCAAGTGCCTCGGACTTGGTTGGTTTCGCCTCGGGTTTGGGGACCCTAAAGGTCTGTATCTTCGTTACGTGCTACTCATGGAGAAATGCAGCCTTCTTCCCCTTTCGACGCTTCCCCCCAGATTACTCGGCTTGAAGTGATGTCGCGTTCTCTCTCTTAGTCTACCTTATGCCCTTGAAGTCGATATCTCTCCCCATCTATCTACTTCCTCCTCTCGATACTGATTTAGTCCAGGGATGACTACCCAGACTGTGCTTTCAGTTACCGCCTTGCGCCTATAAAATTAAAGAATAGCAATAAAATTTGTGGATATTCCAACCAAGATGCTAAAGAAAGCATAAATTGGCTAAGTGTAATGACAACAACCACTATATTGATGGAGCTCAGCATTGATCCACAACGACCTAGGGGTCAGGGTAAGTTGTGTTTGCAGGCTACAGAGTACTGTTGATTGGCCACGGCTCAGGATTTTGGGACACTGCGCATTTACGTTCACGAAAATAGGTGATACATTTGCCATCTTATACACATTCTTAGTTAGGCCTAAACTAGATAGGCATGCATAGGTGGCAAATCCCTGGCTGGAAGGTGGCTGAGACCTTCTGGAAAGAGTTTAGAAAACGGCACCTGCCAGGCCTATATATGAAGTACCACTCAAGGATCTGAACCTCTTCCCTTTATCCTACTGCAGGCACAGGGATGATCTAACCACGCTATGCGGGATTTTAGGAAATGGCTTTGAACCTGATCTATCTCCTCTTTTCCCTCCCACCAGGCTGGAACATCCCAGAGTAAATAGCAGGAGGGGACAGAAACAAAAGATAAAAGTTGCCACCATCGAGTGCTGGTTCTGGCATCAGGTTATCAACTCCTGGAACCAACTCCCAGGAAAGGTACTGCCCGCTTAGTCAGCCTAAATGTTCAGAAGAGGACTGAACAAGCACAGAAATCCACCGGAAAGGGATTAGCATGGGCTCGCAGCCTTCTGACGTTAAACTTTGAATCTGAAATCTGATGGAAACAAAGCGTAGTGTCTAGGTCCGGGCTCGCGACCTGCTCAGTACCGGGTCATATCGAGCACACTCATTAGCCACGAGCGTGCCGCCGATTTTAGTGATTATATCTCACTGCTCATTGCTGTTCAACACCTTTTGGTCAAGTTTGAGCGACAACGGTCACCAATAGGTAACATTTTACCATGATCATCTGAGAAACAGCACTTCATGTACTTCAGTGGTGGAGCTTTTGTCACTTGGCAATGACATCTGGTCTTAGGTGCCTCCAAATACACTACTCTGGCTAAAGCTTTGAGCTCTTTTCTTCTGAAGGTCAATTATTTTGTTCCACTCATGGTTGATGTTTTGGTAAGTTTTGATGTGTGTATTATGGAAACGGCTATGGATAATTCCACTTTTAACGAATTGTTTTCGGCTAATCATGAGTTATGGATCTTGACTCCTGCCAATGATAAAACAATCGCGAGTGTGATGTTAAGCAACTATAAGAGCTCTGTGTTGTGATGGAAGAGTCATTAAGCAGGGAATAATGCTGGTGCACCTCTGGGGAGATTCGACCTTAAAAGTCGGACTAGGAAAGGCCTGCAACTGCGAGTGGCGTGGAAAATAAATTGAGGGAACATATCACGGGCTACGTAATGGTAGAGTTTGGAAATGCCGTCCAATGAAACCGACAGCACTAAAAACCTGACGTGAGTCTCTCAAAGAGTGCGGGAGACGCCGATGTTAGTAATTACTGAAAAGTCAAGATCAAGGAGTTTAAGGAAGACACTTGAGGACAACGAAGGAAGCCATTAGTAGCGAATGCTGGAGTGTTTACCAAGGACCAAATCGCGGATGGGACACAAGGTTTGGTAGTCTGAAAAGCAGTGTGGCTTAGAAGGTTGACGGTCATC